TACTATAGCTACTCATTTGCAGAAAGCAGTTTTGTTTCTCTTCTCCAGCACTGAAAGAATAGAATTTGGAAATATCTAACCTTTAGTTATATGCATTCAGTTTAACAAATAAACTTATTTTTATTTACTTAAGATTAGAACCAATATGCTGACATGGTATGGCTTTAATAGAAATAAACTTCAAATTTTAATAAATTTGAAAATGGCATGATTTTCAAAGCAAGGCAAACCAAAAGGGTACTTGAATTGTTTGAAATTTGATCATGGCTTTCACATATATTCTATTGCTTAACTTTTGAGAAAAGAGATTTTATTAAGAAAAAATTTTTTTAAGAAAAAGCAATAAAGTAAATTATTTAATGAACTTAAGAATTCGGATAGCTTGAATACATATATATTTTAATAAATTATGATTTATATTCATTTCATCATCAAGGAGGTAAATTCCATACCTTTAAAATGATACATTTACACCTTTTTTCAAAATACAGAATTTACAGGAAATGGGGATTATTTGGGGATTAGACTACTTAATGATTACAAAATTGACCATATTCAGTGGCAGACTGGAAAGGAGCCTAATTCTGCTGAGCCATTCAAACAGCAAATTAATCCTATTAACCAAAATGGAGCCTATATACTTTGTAATTTACTCGCTAATGACTTTTAGACTGGGTGTTCATTATATGAACATTTTTTCCAGTAAATGGGAAGAAATGAGTCATCTCTAGAGATTTTGTGATTTCCAAAACAAGATAAATAAAACTGTGCTTTGTAATAGATACTATTTGTGTTATTCATTATAAAAACAGTTATATAAGATTACTAAATAATATAGATGGATAAATTACTTTTAAATTTTAAATGTATGCAATAACGATCATGTAAAAGCTTTATATATTCTGTTTTTATTTATGATTTCATCATTATTTCATTAAAAAAACCCTAATGAATCAAAATGTGGATAAATGTTGCTATCCCATCTATGCATATATATCACCCCAGCAATAGATATGAGGGTTTATATTAAATAGTAGATGTCAATAATCAACAAAATTATTGTTTAGTGGATTGCCATACAATTTCTACAACATACAGAGTTTCAGAGACTGTGAAGCAGTACTGTATCAATTTATATAATTGCCTATCTCACACATGAATGAAATATAATACATAAAATATAAAAAAATAAAACCACATCACCAAGTATTATAAAACTGCCATCCACTTATCTAGTCAATGGTTTGTATTGTATACACTTGAGCCCCAGGCTCAGCCCCAATATCAAGTTTTCAGGGCCAAAAGGCCAACAGGATCCTGGCTAGACTAATGTGGAGGGAATGATTTTCCTTATCAGCCAACATTCCTTGACTGATGGTTAAGCAAATGCCTCCTGCTGGATCAAGTAAAACAAGTAAAAACAACTAAGGAGAAACAATTCCATAAATAATGCGGTCCAAAGCCACAGAAGGTTTTAGAAGTGAATACCACACCTTGAATTGAACCTGGAAGCCTATTTGAAGCCAATACAACTCACAGAATAGTAGTTTCTCATATACTGAATAAAAACACTATTAACTGTCTGTGCTGCTACATTCTGCACCAGAGGAAGTTTCCAAATGGCCTTAAAGAGCTGTCCCTATGGAGTGTATTATGGTAATCCAATCTCAAAACAGAGAGAGGGGTACCATAAGAAACAACAGTGGATGACGGATGAAATTTTTCATCTCATGGATGAAAGAAGCTCTTATAAAAATCAAAACAAAGAAAAATACAATGAATTGCAGAAAAAAATTAGAAGAAAAATTCGACTGGCAAAAGAAAAGTGGTTTGCTTGAGCGGGTGTTTCGACTAGATGACCTATAAGGTCCCTTCCAACTCTGTTAATCTGTTAAATCTGTTCAATATTTCTGAGAATAATTCACACAAGAATATACAACAAAATTGAGGAGTGTCTAAGTAACACACAATTTGGTTTCAGAAACAACTTTGGTATCCGAGATGCCCTATTTAGCATTCAAGTTCTTGTACAGCATTGTAGAGATGTCAATCACAGTGTTTACATGTGCTTCATCGATTTTGAAAAAGCATTTGATAAAATAAGACACAACTATTACAAGTCCTGAAACAAGTGGTACTAGATGACAAAGACATTTGAATCATAAAGAATCTATATTGGCATCAGGTAGCAAATGTGAGATTAGACCAAAAATACTCAGATGATGCAGAAGTATGAAGAGGGGTCAGACAGGGCTGTATTCTGCCTCTGCTGTTGTTTAATATCTACTCTGAGTCAATTTTCAACGAAGCACTGGAAAACATTGATACTGGCCTCAAAGTAAACAGTATTCGGATCAACAATTTAAGATATACTGATGATACAGTTCTGCTCATCAGTAAGCATGAAGACCTTTAGCTCCTCATCAACAGAGTTACAGAAATATCTGAAAAATATAGCTTGAAACTTAACACTTTGAAAACCAAGATCATGGTTGTCAGCAAACAGCCCGTTGATTTACCACTGATAAATTTGGAAGGAATACCACTAGAAAAAGTTGAAAGATTCATGTACCTCAGTTCTAATTTACATGAAAGCTGGGACATGACCACTGAAGTAAAGACGATAAAGAAATCTCGAACAGCATTCTTCAAAATGAAAAAGGTCTTCTACAGTCACGACATAAACCTAAGACTGAAAATGAGGCTTGTCAGACATTACATCTTCTCTATCCTGCTCTATGGGGTAGAGTGTTGGTCTCTAACAGAAAGCCACTTGAAGAGACTAGAAGCATTTGAAATGTGGATTTACAGACAGCTATTACGTATAAGCTGGGTTGACAAAATCAGAAATGAGGTGATAAGCCTCCTGGGAAAGGAAAGGGAAATCATCAAAACCATTGAAAAGTGAAAGAATATTTTGGACATGTGATGCGACACCTGGAAAAATATGCCATACTTCACTTAATCCTCCAGGGAAAGATTGATAGCAAACGAGGTCCAGGCAGAAGAAGAACATCATGGCTTCAAAATCTAAGCGACTGGTTTGGACAAAACTCAGCAGCATTTTTTTGTGCAGCTGTTGATAAAAATAGGATCACCAACATGATCGCTAATGTCCAATGATGGATATGGCACAAGAAGAAGAATCTACAGTAGAGGTTATGAGCACAGTGACTGTGAGCAGGGACCCTAGTTCAGAACATTCCATAAGCATGACCTCTATTTTGCTCATGATAGATAAACTAGATACAAAACGCATTTACATCACTATAAGGTTTTTTTTTTTTTAAATATCTTAAATACTTTATTTCAGCATTATTCAGTTGAATGGTTTGGGTCCAATTACTCTCTCAGTGCAGTCCACCTCACAAGGTTGCTCTTGTGGGGAAAACAGGAGGAGGAAGGAATATTATGCATGTTTGCCATTTTGAGTTACTTAGAAGTAATAAAGTAAATAAAAATCTAATAAATAAACACATAAAAGTGCTTCTTCACAGTAGCCAGGTTGCAAAATAAAATTAGTGGTTATTTTAGTAAGAATTTCACTGTTATGCAATTTATATGAATGAATACCTTTAAATATCTCCAGAAGGAAAACATAGTTAAATTGTTTTCTATCTTTGTTTTTAGGTAATTTGGGAGCAATTTTGTAGGGTTTTTTTTCCTAATAATGCATCTGTTTTAAAATTTGTCTTAGTGAGAATTCTATAGAAACTTCTTATATTTTGGACAATATTTATGTCCCATCCCAATTTTAGCAGATACGTATGTCAAAAAAAAAGCTCCAACAGGGAAATTTAGAATAAGAGAGTATAAAACAGCCATGAATCAAAATATCAATGAAGGACTGCAATTGGAATTTGAATTCCAACTGACTTATAATATTGAGTATGTCTTTACATTGCATATTGCCCTTGCTCGGAACAAAGGAAAATTATTATAATATTAATTAAATTTATATCCTGCCTTTTCCCTAGGAATTCAAGATTGTGTATGTAACATTCTTCCCTCCAATTTTTACCCACAATAGCTGTCACCTGGAACTAAAAAGTAGCAGCTGAAATGGAACCAGAACCACGGCTTTCTACTCTTAGATCAACTCATTAATTCCCATTGTGTCAATTTTCTAACTTGATTTGGATCTTTCAGTCATACAAGTTTTCTCTTCAGTCATACAACCCTCTGTTACCACCTTGAAGGAAAGTTATTTCTTTCCCTACGAGAATCAAAGTGGAAGCATAAATTTGAAGGGTTACTTCTTTATGTTGGTTGATTAACATTGGTCATGAATATTGATTCTAAAAATTCACATATAAACTAATGAGAATTAAATTAACAATGTCTCATGAGAAAAGTGACTATTGAAATTTTTAGTTTGGAATCAAGGAAGAGACATAAAGGGCTATGAAATAATGGATAGCATAGATAATGTGAAGAACAGTATGTTTGACTTTATCTTTCATTATGTTAGAGCTTAAAATCTACTGGAATTAAATGCCAGAAGATTACATATCAACAGGAGGAAATTCTTTTTCACACAACACGTAGCTAAATTATTGCAGATGCTTTGGATTATTTTAAAAGGAATTGATAAGTTAATGGAGGATCAGTTTATCAATAGCTATTAATGTTAAAGACTATTGATTGCATCAAGGCATTCTGCCTTTAATATTTGTTGCTGCAAAACACTGCAGGTTGCACTGACTTGTAACCTTCTGAAATGTTCCCAGTTATCTATTGTGTGAGACAGAATGTAAAAGGAGTTGAACAGATTGAATTCCATGGGCCTAGAGCTGTTTTAGTAGGTCTGTTTTAAGATTTTTGATACCTTCCAAGAACCGATTAAAGTTGCTTTTTTAAGAATCGTTGTTGATTATTCTGTTATAAAACATTTTTAGATTTTATTTATCTTGCCATACCTGTTATGTCATAAATAGCCAGCTATTATGTATTATTATTATTTTATTTATTTATTTAGCCCAATTATTTATGTTATCCAGGAGGGCGTAATGAAGTCATCATCACTGAAAACAACAATAGCATAACAGAACAAATTACGGATGTTGTCAAGCAACCTGCCTTTATTGCTGGAATTGGTGGTGCTTGCTGGGTTATACTCATGGGTTTCAGTATCTGGCTCTATTGGCGCAGAAAGAAGAGAAAGGGCCTTAGCAATTATGCAGGTAAGAACAAGAATTTAGTTTATAATAAATATTCAGCAAGAACATATCTGATTCTCAGAATAAGGAGTTGAGCAGATTGAATGTTGTTTATTATGCTGTGAAAGAACAAGAATATGAAAAGCTTTAAGTGCAATGCTCTGTATCACATTTCATCATTGCTACCAGAAAGCTGTCTAATATTCATACAATAAGTACATCTGATATAAGAAGCCCAAGAATTTTAGATACAACTTTTCCCTAAGTGAAAGACAAATTCAGCAGGCTTATTTATTTACAAAATTAAAGAAGGAAGTATATAAATAAAGCGGAATTGATAAGCTCAGGTTACTAAACATAAACTTGTTATATCATCATTATTTTCAATCATATAATCATAACCAAATTAACTGAGATGGAGACCAATATGTCTTCATTATGTGATTTCACTTTCCACCTTAAAAAGAGAATCAGTCCATTCAAATCCTGTCCTAATTTGTGCTCATTAAGTAATTAAATGATAGTTGAGTTAAAGACTATCTAACTTTGTTTGATAATACTGGATACATTGTAAACAAACATTCTACTTATTTTTGATAAAACAGAATAAAACACCGGGGGCATTCAAATGAATGCATGACACATTTTTCTATTTATGAAAGAAATAGAAACACATAAGGATAAATTTTGGAATCTCATGTGTTTTTCTATTATTTTGGATCACATAAGGTTTTGTTTCCATGGTCTGAAAGCAATGTAAAAATATCCAAAATGTGCACCTAAAAAGTTGATTTACATTAAAACACTTTTTTTATAAGGGCCCTGTGGTTAACAACTTAATCAACTTAATTCACTTAGTTATACTGAACTGAAATCAGTATAAAGCAAAAGACGTTTAATATCCTTCATGCTGCCTTCTGTATTAAGACTAGTGTGAAGCAAGAATATTATTATTGCATATTCCATTTCAGCTAAATAAGGCTGTGAATTTCTCTACAATTTTGATGCATTATTTTTGAAGAAAAGTATTATTCATGTTCTATTTGAATTCAGTGAAACTCTGGCTGTGTGCTATTCAGATCAGATTTCAGACTCTTTCTTTTTTTTTCTTAATGATTACATACATTGAACATTTATGATTATAATTTTAAAAACAATGTTTGGTTTGCAGATTTTTATTTTTTCCTTTTCCTTATAATAAATATAGCATTTTCAACTTTCTCTGTTTTTAAGGAGGTAGATAAATTTTGTTCAAAAATCATATCATTAAGCTCAATTGCACAACAGGTAGCTTTGTTTTATTATCTAGAATGATTAAATAGTCATTTTTTCATATTTAAGGGAGGGGTAATAGATTTGCTGCTTTATTTAGACATTCAGAAACATCAGATGTGCTAAATACATACGTCTTCAACTCTCATTTAATTGCTTGACATCTCTGTTATGTATAACAGCATGTTTCTATAAATAGTTTTGTAACATCTAACAATTTGTAGGTTTACCATATATGCAAGATACATATACGCAGAATAAATATATTTTAAAGCATGCAAAAAATTTGGTTCCTTGCTGGCAACCATATACTTTTAGTCAGCATAAAACCATTATCAAAAACATAACATCTATATAATTTTTCTTCCAATATTTATGTATATGGTATTAACTCCTGTAACACTTTAAAGTGTGTCATATTATGCACACTTGTATATTTATTGTTAAATGTTGCATTTGCCTGATAGTGAAACTTCATAATCAATTACATTTGAAAGCAAAACATAGCATCTATATGCTGCCAGCTTGCATGTCCATGTAACTCCTTCATATAAATATAAAAAACCCATGCATTTATGTTCAATCCTTTATTATGGGCTGCTGCTAATGCTTAAATGTGAATTGCTATAATTTGAGCCTGATTTTAAAACATGTAAAACTTATTTTTGAAAGACAGCCATGCCCTGTAATTGGCATTGCTTAAGAGTTTTATAACTCACAATGTATTTACTTTTCTTGTTTTGCAGTCCAGTCCTTCACCTTCACCCCTGCAGGTATTGTCCATTAGTTCTCTTTCCCCCAGCACCAAACAAATGAATCCATTATAATTATTCAATTTATAAAAGAACTAAAAACTTGTGTGCAAGAATCAGCATTCTCTTTATAAGTCATACTAATGTGGTATTGTACCAGTGATTCTAAAAGAATGCTATATTATAATATTAATATATTTGTCCTTAAAAAACCATGCTCACACTTTAAGCTTTGTTAATTTTTTATTCTTAATTATTCATTTAAAAATAATTTAATAAGCATTGTTTGAAGTGAAAGCAGAAGATAGAGTACAAACGTACAAATTTGCAAAAATTTGAGGTAATTTATATTATAGTTTAATATAGATGTAATCTATATTATATTTTCCTGCTTTTGTAGATTTTTTTTTTAGTTTAATTTTATGGCAGATATTACCAAAAGTTAACACCCTTAAATCCACATGGCAGGCAGTAACTTATTCACACACAACCCATTCCAATTGAAAATATTTATAAAATTATAAATATTTTTATAGATTTATGAAATCTATGTCATACAAATAAAAAATATTTATAAAACCGGATTCAAAATTTACTTCCTTAGAATTCCTTTATCAAAACTAACATAATTGAGTGCAATAAATTTATATGGGGCAAAAATAATAGTACATAAAGAACTCTCCCATGGTACATACTGTATGCTCATGGAAAGCAATAGGCATTGTTACATCAATAATTATGTTTTAATAAATGTTTGTCTATGTCTATTTCAAATAAATTCAGAGTATTTGAAGTGAGTATTCCTAAATGCACAAATGAATAGATACATTTTAAAAGGTTTATATTTTGTTTTTATTTGTTTTAAAGAATCATGATGAGTTTAAAACATTTGAAACTTACAATTTGATATAAACAGCCAAAGAGACAGAATCACCCATTACAATATATCACAGATGATAAGTGCAAGCCAACATGGTGTTCAACAACTGACTCAAGTGGAACTTTCTGCCAAACAAATAGGCTTCTAAAATCTTTGGGCTAGAGAACCTCATATTTGTATGACTTTAGGATCTAAAGCTTCACTTAAACATCACCTTTTCAATTTATACCCAATAAAGTTGCTGTTGAATTAAAGTAACATGAATTAATGAGCATGTGCTCATCAGGCCCTGTAGCTACATTTTGAACTTATTAAAAGTTCTGGAAATTCTTCCCGATTTGTTGAATATGGTCTAATGACTGACTTCACTAGCTAATTCTGTGTAATAATATAGAATGTTATTTATAGTACATAGAAGTGAATAACATATCTGTGGTTATTTCACTTGTTTTGGATGCATTTTAATAAGATAATAACATAAATAGTTATTGAGTTACTTTTCATTTAACTTTATAAAAAACTAATTTTAATTTGCTTATGTCCTTAACTTTTACCTTTTAGACAGCTTTTTCCATTTCTTCATTCTAAATTTAGCTATTGAGTTGTTTCTGATGTCTCTGAGAGCACCATCTCTCTCTCTTTCTCTTTCAGCTTTGATAACTCACTTATATCTTGTTTTACTTGTGTTTCTTGCAAACCTCAGCAGGAGATCAAAAGTGCTTACTGATAGCGCCCAAAACCTCACAGCATGAGGAGATGTCCAGTGTAAAGATGTTAACCATATGACTCCCTTTAATAATCTACAATAAACCATGAAAACATTTGACTGTCTGTGCTAAGGTTTTCTGACTGCTTGTATAGAGAAAGAGAAATATAGTTTAGAAACATACCTACCAGGAAAAATAGTATTACCTGTCATTGCAGCACTATTTATCAGAAAACCATATGATTTCACAATGGAAAACAGACTTCTTCAAGATGGATAAATGTCAACTGTTTAAGAAATAATATTGATCAAAACGACAGGTTTATTTCATTGGGACAGTTTCAAAATCGAGACTTAGTTCTCTAATTTTAGACATATTCTGTATCGAAATAAAAGTCCACCCTCAAAGTTGAATACAAATACATTTTCAACATGGGAATAATCCCAGTAGGAAAACTGGATACGTGATACTATCATGAACATTCTAGCCCATAAAACTGAACAGTAGAAAGACCATCAAAGTCATCAATACGTGGACCATATCTGTGATACGATATATTACTGGAATTATTAACTGCACACAAGCTGAACTAGACAGTTTGCACTGAAAAACAAGAAATTTGATGACTATTCAGTATGCATTATATCTCCATAGTGATGTTTATGGGTTGTATCTTTACTGCAGAAGTGGAGGCAATGGTTTATTTCATGTCAAACACATTTTTGGAGATGCATGCACTGGCTTAGTATATAAAAGAAGGAGAGGAAACTAGATAAAGATAATACCTGGAAATGGGTCACATCTGAAGCATTAAAAAAAAACTGTATACTTACTTTTGCCTGTTAAGACCAAACTGTTCAAACTAATGCAGTCAAGGCCAGAATTCAAAAATCATCAGTAGTAGTTCATATACTTAGCTCATGCATGAAGATCACACAAATTGATTATAAACAACAAAATAACACAGTCAACAAAATGATTCATTGGAACATCTGTAAAAATTATCATCTGCCAGTAATGAAAAGTTGGTAGAAACTTACAGTTTAAAAAGTACAAGTACTAGTCAGAGACAACAGAATAGAAAAGAAAGAACTGGAGAAGGTAACAAAATACAAAGAACTGCAAATAGAAGTAGAATATCTCTGGCAAAATGTAATCCCAACACATCTGGATTACCAGTTGAAAACCATTGGCATTGATAAATCATCAATTGCAAAAGACAGCTTTACTTGGATCAGTTTACATCCTGTGACAATGCTCTTAATACTGTCAAACAAGTTATGTCTATCCCAGGTCCTTGATAAGGACTCCATAAGTAGATAAAAATGCCAAATCCAGTTTAAACATCTGATAATTGTGCAATTAATAATAATAAACACCTTGTGGTTGTGCAGACCATAATAATAAACAGTTTACATCCTGTATGATACCTTTGATATTATTAAACAACAACATCTGCCTATCTAGTGTCCTTGGGAAAGTCTCAATAGAGGTACAAAAATGCCACATCCACACTAAACTCAGGGGCTGACTATGCAACCAACCATAATAATAATATAGTTTTCTTCATTCATACATCCACTGTGGTGCTAATCTACTGTTTATCAAAATAGTAGTTTATTTTGTATTATGTATGATCAAGATGTTCTGCATGAGGAGCCTGACATTTAGTGGTTCAATTCATAAAATTTTTCTTTCTCTTACTTAACAAAAAAGCCAGGCGAACAAAATAATAGCAGAGAAACAAGGATCATACATAATCGGGTATTCATCAAAAAGTTCTTATCTACAGTGGAGGCTCTGTCTTATGGAAATGAAGTTTAATGTCTGCTCACATCCAGATTTATGATGTTATATTATATTGGTTGATGTAGATATCTAGTATTCATTTAAGTTTTAAAAATTGATTATCTATCTTTTCAATTTTAGAATACAAAAGGTGTTTTACACTACAAAAACTATAACACAATATACTGTATAATGAACATTATAGCAAAATTTGAGCCTACAAAGTTCTACTATACTGCTATACCACAGGCATATGTCCAGTTAGCCAAAATCCTTATGTGTGGCACTCAATATCTTTGCAGATCTTGAAGAAATTAAGTAGGAACAAACCTGGATTATACTTGAATGGGAGTACATTGGGAAATCACTGTAGATTAAGTTGGGAATGCAGAACAATATCTAATCCACTTGCAAATTATTAGCCTCTTCTCATCCCAGTGTGTCCATAGAGTTATTAATGGTTGAGTTAAAATCATCTCATAGCCAAGATGAAATTATCTTTACTTAAATAAAATTATTGTTCAAAGCCAGTTGGACTGAGAAAGAATATGGTATTTCATTTTTCTGGCTGTTTTATAACTGTAACATGGAAAATAGAATATAAGGAGTATGTATTTATCTTTTTATATATGCAATAGATATCTACTGAAAGATGAGAATTAATTCCTACATGTTTTGAATTTATTAATACATCCATTTTCAAGAAATCTGAAAGTGTGTTATGACTATGTCAATCTGAATTAAAATTATATCTTTGTTTACAAACAATAGGTATGCACACTCCTGGAAATTAAAGATTCTGATGCAAGTAATAAATTAATTTAAATTTAAATTCAAAATAAAAAGTAATAGCTAAATATTTACTAACAGCGTAGATTAATATAATTTGTTTAACAGAATCATTCCCACAAGCAGAAGTTTTGGAAAAATTTCCAACACTGATTATCTTTTCTGAGGTAATACTTATTAAAAGAGGATTAGTCTATATTCACATTTGAGGAAAAGCTTATCAGGAAAGGAATGAGACTTGGCTGGCAGCATTGAAGTTTTTATTTGTAGTTGGAAAATGTGGCCTACTAGAGATAGCCTTTCGCAGAGCTCTTTTGCCTTGAAATGTCAGCTCAGAGTGTTTATTTTTTTTTCCTACCGTAGCCAGTATTAATGTTAGGTTAAACTTTGCCAGATGATATTGTAAATATTTCATCCATGTATGACTTTATTTTCTGCTTTCTCCATTTTAACTGTGAAAGATTTAATTATGTGGGGCATTTGGAGGTGCCATCCTCAAATCACAGGTTAATAATGATTGCTTAACCATCTTACTTGTTGAATAAGCTCCTAATAACATAATGTTTCAAAAAATCTTCCAGTAATTTCCCTATTCCTGTTTTAAAATTTCTATATTCATTTTTTACAAAGTCTAGTTCTATGTTAAAAATGATAATCGCTCTTCAGCATTTTAAAATCTATGTAAGGCAATTAAAAAGTGAGCATTTTTTGTGCAAATACTGTAGGTAAAACAGAAGTAGAATAATCTTAAGGAAATATACTCTATCTCCTTTTTTATTTCCATGATATTTTCTACTTCTGTTAAATTTAATTGAATTTAGATTAATAAAATCTGCTTGCATGGTTATAATTTTTATGCATAATAAAGACATATTCTACAGTATTTAGTAGTTTACCCTTAATCTATAATGCTAGAAATCACAGAAAATGACAGAAACATCTAACATGGTGCTTAATTCATCACCCCAGCACACTTTCTTTGTCATTTTCTTAGCTTGCTTAAAATTATTTTTTAGGACGTATGTCCAATAATTTTTATAGGTGGGTTCCAGAAGTATTCAGATGATCATTTAATACAATGGTATTTTTTTAACTGCCATTCTTACTATACATGTAAAGGTCAGTTAATTCTTTTAAAGGTACATAGAAAGTTATGAAAAACTATCAATGAACTAGACCAGATCTGTGTTATTTTTTTATCCAAAAATGCTGTCTTGAAATCAGTCTATTAAATTCCAATCATAAGTAGTGTAAATCAAATGTCATAATAAAAACTTGCAGATTATGTTTATAAATTTAGCTAAAGTAGGTTAGATGTTATTTTGACTTCTATAATATTTTGTAAACAAGAACTAGATGAAAAAGAAGAAAGCAAAATGGAATGAGTGAGGATCTAACACTGTTATAGTCACATAGTTTTGGAATTAAAAAAATATAACCTCATAAATATTTTTCTTGCATATTGTAAAGCATCCATTCAATCTAATGTATCTAATGATTATGTCTGACAATATAATAAGAAGCAATACTTAAGCTAAATATGTATTAATTTCCTGATAGGTACAGCATGTCATTTAACATGAAATATATCTATATTGATGCTTAAGCATCAATTATTGTTTACTCAGTGGTGATAGGCAATTAATCAACAATTCTTAAATTTATTCTGTGAGGTATCTTAAAGGGACTTCTTTTGTTCTTACTGGTATTAAATGAATATCATGAAGCCACTTGTGGAATTGATAACATGAATAGTATTTTCTCAGAAGGTGTCGATATTTTTTTATATTCTAATACCTACATTGATAATATTTCAGTCTTGAATCATAATTGTTTGACTAAGATTCAAACAATTTATTATGCATAAAACATGAGTGGTATTGCAGGAAAACAAGAAAAGAAAAAGAATAGCTTATGTTAAATTTTATTATTTATCAATGTTTCTGAGCAATATTTATATATTAATGGGAACGTATATGGTAAAAAATCATACACAGAGAGTTCAACATATATCTGTGAATTCCATCTTCTGCAAGGTAGCCACTTACTATATCTGAATGTAAATTGTGCTGCACTAATATGAAATATTTAATAGATATTGAATTTGAATCAACCTAACCTATTAGTAACAGCGTACTATTACAACCTAACATAATACTGTAGTAAATGGATACAACAGAAATAGCAATAGCAATAGCAATAGCAGTTAGACTTATATACCGCTTCACAGTGATTTATAGCCCTCTCTAAGCAGTTAAAGAGTCAGCATTTTGCCCCCAATGATCTAGGTCTTCATTTTACCAACCTCGGAAGGCTGGAAGGCTGAGTCAACCTGAGTCAATCCATTTTGCCTCTTTTCAGCTGCTGTTCTTGCTATTGGCTTCAAAGTGTCTGAAGTCACATTTACTCTTTAGCAACTGACACAGAAATTTTGGGTGTCTTCTCCCAGACATGTGATTTCCAGAGCTAAACACAAAGTTTCCTGGATTGTCATTTGAGGAAAATGAATTTCCTAAATACTGGATTTTAATAGCTAACAACTACTTTGCTGAGAACATTGTGATTGGACTATTGTGACTATTTACTGAGCTGATTTAAAATGGGTTTATGATGTAGTCTTAATAATTATATTATCAATTTACACAATTATGTAATAAAGACAATACACCATGAAGAGTTTGCTGTGAAACACTACAATTTTTTTCTGTTTTCAGTTTTAACATGTTTTTCACTTCTAACTTTTTTGTAATGACATGATTATAACCATAACATCATTATTGTTTCATTAAGCACTAGCATGTTCGAATGTGCAGTTTCATTTTAATTTAGCTAGAGAAATAAAGGAATAAAAGAAATAAAGCTTTTAACATACCTGCACAATTTCAATGGCTTTGGGCTCAGTGTGTTATAAGTCAAAAGTCAATTGATTTTAGAAAATTGCTATAAACTTCATAATGACAAGAAATCAGAAATAAATTATTCTGTGAGCATGTCACTGAAAAAGACTAACTTAAATTAACATTATGCTGAGAAAACAGGAATTACCTCAGCTTTCACTATCCTTATACTTAGTTATCTCACTTAAAATACAATCCTCAGGTAGGTGGAGCATAGGCCTTTTGACTTTATGAATTATCTACATATTATAATTTCACTCAGTATAAAATACTAATGCACTTTTCCCCTTTTTTTTCTATTTGAAACACAAACCAGTCACTTTTCAAAGAGGAGATGGAGGACTTATGAGCAATGGAAGGTATACTTATAATTTACAGATTGTACCTCTTTTTGAATTTCTCATATGTTTAGCTTGTTTAATTTTTTTAGGAGCTAGAGACAGAGAGAGATGATCAGATGTAAAAGTAGCAATTCTAGGAGGAATTAAAAGGATTAAACTGGCTTTTAATGAACTGTTGTACACTTAAGGAAATCAAGCCCAGATGTTTGATAACTCCCAGATGCCCAAGAAGAAATTAGTAGAAAATATCAGAAGGAATGTATTCATTTGTTTTCAGGATAGTTGTTGCATTAATTAGGCATTAGTAAATGAAGTTGCTGTTGTTTAAGAGACCTTATTGGCTTCCATTAAATTGCAGTGAATGAACAATTACACACAATCGTTCACAAAATAAATGATTCACAGAAGATGAATAAGTTGTAAATTGATAAGACTAGATTCTACAACTTTGGCCACTCAATTGAAATTGATAAAAGTTGATAACAGACCTATATATCCTCATATATTTTCTCAGTGCCAATATGGAGACTGTAATTAGGATCTGGTAATAACTTCCCATCTCCCATTCAATCAATATTTTAGCAAAAAAGGGATTAAGTCTAATGAGAGTACATAAATGAAAAGCAAGCTGTGTGATCGTCTTATTGCCGTTTCTATAGAAACCCATACTTCACTCTGAAATTATACAGAAGGGATTATTGGGAGTGCAAAAAAAAAATACTGTCATAAATATAATGTACAAACATCTGATGAAAGACCTAATACTAAATTCTGATTCCCATTGTTACTTTTTGCTTTTAAAAATGTTAATACTCTCAATTTATTTGCTTCGTATTTTCTCTCCATCTTTATTTATCTTACCAAATTTTAGGAACAAGATTAAACCTAGTGTATATCTTGGATTTTAGATTAAACCTAATGTAGATCTCATCCATTTGTTTCAGTCAATACATATTCTGTCTTCAGTAGTTTACAAAAACTGAAAACAAACACATGAAAATCTGCTGTCATAGGTAGAACTGCTACTTTGAATTTTCCATTAATCCAATTCAAACTTGCTTGCTTTTAAATTCATGCAAGAGCACTCAGAGGAAAATCTAGCAACTTCTAGATAGCAGACATACATTTGGTATGCAGGAAGTGAAAAAATAGTCACCAGAGGACTGGAAATGCTTGATATAGAACAGTCACTTTGAATGATTATTCCCTTGAGGTAGCAATTTATCATTTCTTCCTGGCTTAGGATCTTTCAGTGGTACAGCCTATTCCTTCTTTTCAGCCCAGACAATAGAATTCATTTGGATTACGGCAAACTGTTGCATGGGTATACCACCAGTTTCTACAGGCAGTGTGTCAGGTTTATACAGAATCAAAATTTACTCTGAAGATTTTTAAGTGCACAGATTTCACCATTTTAATATAAAATTACTTTACAAATTTCATAGAATTGTTACAACTGTTTGTGGAGCAAATTGAATGTATTTATTACAGTTGCATAGATTTCTCACATTAATACTTTATTATTGGATTTCTTTAGTCGGCCAGGCTTGTTAAATGCAAGTGATCCAAGTTATCCTTGGCTTGCGGATTCTTGGCCTGCTACCAGCCTTCCTGTTAACAACAGTACCAATGGACCAAGTGATCTTGGGAATTTTGGTCGTGGAGGTACATTTTCCAATTTCTTAACATGTAGGATGTATATGGCAGGATACATTGTTTCTTTATCCAACAGATTTGTTAGAAAAAATGTCGATGGAAATATAAACAATGAAAATAAGAAGTACCAGTAATGATATATTGTTACACTATATATTTATACGAAAGCTTTCTATATCATCAAGAGGTTTACAAAATAAAATATTTATTATATTTAGTCAATTTTATAATTGTTCTCCTGACATAAACTCACAATGTCATACAATTAAAACAGCATAATATTGTAAAAATAAAGTATAATAAAACCGTTACAAAATTCATCAATTAAAAGCATACTATCTGGATGTATTTGAAAAACACAAAAAGCTTCTGATGTGTGGATGTGGGGGAAGGGGAGAAATAAAATGGCTCATCAAGGCTTTACAGAAGGCAGACCTTTCAGATCACTGGGGGATGGTTATGATAGAGAAGGTAGGTCTCCTGTGTCCCACAAATGATATTGCTGAAATGACAGAATCTGGAAAATACCTACCCTGTCAGATCTTATTAGATTGTCAAAGATAATCAGAAACAAGTGATTCCCCTGTGCCATGAAGAGCTTTAAAAGTGATAGCCAGCCTCTCTTGAATTCCGTCTAGAAACCCACTGCTACCCAGGGCAGCTTGCAAAGTAATGAATTGTCATTAAGGACAGTCCTGTTTAAAGCACATTGCAGTAATCTCAGCCACAGGGAATCACATGGTATACACATTTTAAAAATAAATAAACTAGAGGTGACCATGAGTAAGGTGGTCCAAGCCGTGGCTCTTTAGGCAGGAGGTATGAATCCATTATAACCCCAAAATCACACAACAGCTCTGTTTGAAGTGGTAGTCCCATTCAGAACCAAACATAGAACATCTGACATCCAAAATTCCTGAAAATCCACAGCCACTCAGTATAGCCATCTAACATCTGTAGTTCTAACCATATAAATCAAAACTCTTTCAATAATCCCATTGATTGACTAAATATATAGCATCAGATACAAGATATCCTGGTTCCAAGCCCATCGGTTCCAGTTAGATTATGACCTTACATATCATAAACAAAAGCATAAACAGAAATCATTAGTTAATTTGAAAGTCAGTGCAATCACTTTCAATGGGTATAAAACTAACAATGATCAGGAGTATCCCAATCAGCAACCTGGCCTTAGCATTCTACTCTAAGAAATTCACTGCAAGAATCTGAATTAAAACAGAGTATAAGTCATTGACTCCACTATTAAAATACTCCTATTTTTAAATTTTTCTTTCTAACATTTCTGCCTTTTTAAAACTAAATCAATTAAGTCCCTGCAGTCTGGAACAAGTGTGAGTAGCTCTTCATATTCTTCTGGGTAACATCTGTTCTGGTCCTTGCAAAGTGCAAACATATTCTTCCTCATTCTTCTCAGGGTTAAACATTCCCAGTTCATTCAGTCACTCTTTATAGTCCCCTGATCATTCTTTTCTTTGAGCCTATACAATTCATCTATTTGTCTGTGAGTGGTTCTCAGAAGTGGAAGGTGTGCTCAAGGTGGGCAGAATAAAGAATTCGCTTTTAAACTGCATTGAGTCTGCAAAGTCTATAATATAAAAATGCTATAAATGAATATTATTTTAATTTGGACACTTGATTTCTGATTCATTATTTCTATATTTGTCTTTTGGCTGCCCTATGAAAATAATAATTCATATTTAATTTGACTATTCAGATTAATAATTAATGGTTGTCCTTCTATTATACTATTTTTCACAAATGCTGTTGTCAAACTACACACAGATCATAGTATATCAGGGTATTTCATTTCTTTTCCTAAGCATATAATTTTCACAAATTGGTCTTAACCTCACTATTAACTTTTTCCATGTGAGAATTTGTTTATTCCATTTATTGAAATAAAATGAGAAATAAAAAGACTTTGTACTGCATTAGGGTAGATATTAATATTGTGATAATTATTCTGGATAAATAATATTTGCCCACTTAATTTTATAGTAATGAAGGTCATTCCCTTGTATTTCACCTAGTGGTTTAAAATAATTTTGATGAATAATCAAATAATTTCATCTTCTAATATTAAATTTAAAGTAATTCTATGTTTAGCATATTTCAAGTTTCAATTCGGTGAAGTTCTTCAAAATGAAAAAGGAAGACATTCCAAAATAATTTATTCTTTTTATTTTGTCTTCTTAAAATTATCCAGATGATTTTAAAAGTAAATACATTAAAATAGTATTGACTAAGACTCTTTCAAAAGAATAACTGAAGATATCTGTGTTCATTCAGTAGTTTGTTCAGTGCTCGCAAGATGGAATGGGGGAGCGGGTTACAAGGAGATTGTTTCTTCTGTGATTTTTATCATATCCCTTGAGCACGACAGTGTCATTGGCACTGACATAAAATGAACAATTGGAAATAGTGTTCAGGACAGAAATATTCCAAGCTTCATTTTCACAGCTGAAGATATGGAGGAAATATGGCTTTTAAGCAGTGAGATGTGAAGGACAAGTGCAAAGTTTGTCAAAGATGCTGATAGAAAGGCATAGGCTGTACATCATTTTCCCTTCACTGGCTCATGGAAACTGTCTCAGCTGAAAAGCAAATGTGCAGCATGATATATTTATTTTTCATATTAAAACCTTGATAGCTTAGTATTTTTTTCTTTATAATACTATTTTTTTTCCTTCCATTTCTCTGTTTGCATCACAGATGTGCTACCTCCAATGCCAGGGGATAAAACCGCCACAATGCTTTCTGATGGAGCCATTTATAGCAGCATTGACTTCAGTACCAAAACTAGTTACAATAGTTCCAGCCAAATAACACAAGCTACTCCATATGCCACAACACAAATATTGCATTCCAACAGCATCCATGAATTGGCAGTTGATTTACCAGATCCTCAGTGGAAAAGTTCAATTCAGCAGAAAAGTGACTTAATGGGATTTGGTTACTCTCTTCCAGATCAGGGCAAAAGCAACAATGGTGATTCTTGTTCTTAATTTTCTTTTATGAATATGTTCTCTGCATGGGAAGAAAATTATGGTTTGCCCTCTTCTGTTCCCACTTCCTTTAATGTATCTTGCATGTATTCTAAAACTTTACAAATACAACTAATTGGATTATGCTATTTCAGTTTCTTTCATCTTTTGCCAGTTTCGTATATCTGCACTGCATCCTGCTACCCATATGATACACTAGGTTAAATATTTAATACATCTTACTTATAAACTGATGAAGAGCTAACTGCATGTTGTGCATGTGCTATAAACTAATCACAAGAAGGTACTATGACCTTTGCCCTTCAACCCTTAGCTTTGCTTTACATCCCTGACTACCGATTGGCTGAGGGATTGTCTAATAGAATGCCACACAACCAGTCACAAGATTTCAGCACCACCAGCTCTCACAACAGTTCAGAAAGGAGTGACAGCCTCTCAGGTTGGTTTTAATACAATTTACATAAGAAGGAAGTTTTTATTTTTAATTCAATTTTATAAACCTAAAAGACTCAAGATATATGATCAATTACTGGGTATAGCCCTTGTGTAAACATACCTGAACGAGTCATACATAATCATATATAAATTGTTATTTTGCTTTTTTGAAAAATATACTTTATTTGTTTAATTTAAGAAGCTAATTTAGAGAACATAAATTATGTATAAATTTACTTCCTATATATCTGAGCATTAATGGAAATTTTATTTCATAAAATTCTCAACTTTCTGGAGCAGTACTTCCTTTCTATAAATTAATCACTTTACAGCTTTGATTTTCTCTAAGGATATTTATGAGGGGTTTTTTTTTTATTGCACAAACTATTATTGGTCACATATTCTCATACAGCATCACAATATCTCTGAGGTCCAGTATATCAATAAATTCAGTAATAGAAATATATTGGAATTGAAAGATAAATATTTAAAATATTTAGAGCTATATCCAAACATAAAGCAAAGGTTGTATGCTGGATATTGTAGTGTAATTATTGTATATGCCATCAAGATGGGTCACAGTACATAAACCACAATATAAAATCCCACTGCAATATAACAAATTATATTATGCATGCCATATTTTTTTAAAAATCAAAATTTAAAAATGTGTGAAGTTATTTTTAGTATTTCTATTGTTTTGTCAGTTTCTATTTTTATTATTGTTTACTTATTTCTCAATATGTATATTTTCTGTAAGCCCTATATTACCTTTACCCATTCATAATTCTTCTGTGTAATTGCCTAATTCTGTTTAATGTTTCATTCTTCTTTGGCATATAGCACATTATGACCAAATATAGTAGGATCATTAGCTATTACTAAATTTGAATTTCCATAAAATGCGATGTAGTCTCATCATGTATATGTGTATTCATTCTCATCTATTTTTTTCCATTCCTTATTGTTCATTTCTTCATGTATAATCTTTTTTTTTCATAATTGGGAGGGAGGCTATGGAAGTGAATAGATTCAAAGTATTACACTTATACATTATTTTTGCATTTTTAGCTGAATGCTGCAAACCTAGTCCAGCAATAAACTGCTTACAGAGTTTTTTTAGACTTTAACACCCACACTTGGCTTTGTGTCTGGAAATAAGCCAAATGAATCATATTTGGGGTTGTGTTCTTAATAACTGAGAAGTCAGCCTGAGAAACAGTATTATAAATACTCTGTGTTTTGAAGCACTTTGTTCTGGTGTTTTATTTTTCCTAACACATATTGCATGAAAATTTAAAACAGACAAAATAAATCTATAAATACAGTTTTGACACAAGAACATTTTAACTTTTATTCAACTTATGATTCATTGTGATTAAGTTATATAGAGTTTGTTAAATGAAAAGAATTAATGCTTAACAATTATACAGGCTCCTTTCACACCACACCACTCTACTATTATTTCTAACTTATGTCAGCTATAACATCTTGCTGTTGATATTAGTAAAATAAAAATAGAGAAAAGTTCTTTTCATGCTTTCACTCTTTTTTTACATGTGCCATCTGGAATCAAAACTCTTTCTGGAAATAGTAATATGTAAATAATTAACTTAGCTTCTTCATATTTTTGTAATGCTTCTTGATTTCAGGTGGGAAAGGAGGAAAGAAAAAGAAAAACAAAAATACTCCCAAGACTCAGAAAAATAATGGGTCTACTTGGGCCAGTGTTCCTCTCCCACCTCCTCCAATACATCCACTTCCAGGAACAGAGTTAGAACACTATGGGGTGGATCCACAAGAACAAGGGTAATGTATTTTCCTTTGAACAATTTTGAATCCAGTATCTGACAGCTACAGCTAAATATTGTCAGGTGGGACAGCCATTTATTGTGAAGTTTGAAGAGAGATTGTAAGCGTAAGACTATACATTTATTACAATAGTGTTTTAATCCATCTGACTCAGTAACCCTTGCTCCATACACTTCCATTACAAATGCACATTTTCATCTCTCTACTGAAAGTTTAAGAGAAGATTCAATTTCAAATGATCTTCCATAGATAAGGATGTTTCTTATAAAACCTTAATTGCTACTGGTAATGTCATGTCATGTTCAGTATGGTTTCTTTATTCTCCAGACTGTATTTCTCAAAGAAATATAGTGCTTAATAATTCACATCAATAGCATGGACCTCACAGATCTAAGAGTGTATCTAAGAGATCTAGTTGAGATCTCCAGGTAATCATACTTAATTTCTAAATCATAGGGTTCCCATACTTTATAATACTTTGTAGAATTATTATTCAACTCTAAGCCCTTTATATATTATAGCTTAGAGATGGAAATTCCAATCACAATGTTTCTTGTATTAATAATAAATGTGGACTAGTGGTTGAGGGGCTGTCCCAGAAACCAGGAAACTGAATTGTAGCCCTGCCTTAAGCATGATAGCTGATTGGGTGACTGGGCTCTCTGTCTCTGCCCATCTCACCTCACAAGGTTCTTTGGGGGCGGGGAAGGAAGAGGAAGGAGTGTTATGTATGTTTGCTGCCTTGAATTACTTATAAAAAGTAATAAAGTCAGAATAAAAAAACTAATAAATTAATTTTAAAAATGACCACCCAATAGAATCTATGCATATGTTCATAATATTAAAAAAAAAGCAGTATCACCCATTACCATTTAATTGATGGACTTCTTTTCACTGGCTGTGTTTAAGTGAAAGCTAGACTGTGTCTGTTGCAGATACTTAATTCCTAAACTGAACCAGGGTTAAATTCAAAGGTCTAAATCAGGTATCAAACTCATGTCGTCATGGTGGTGTCACGTGACATATTGGGACTTTTTTCACCTTCGCTAAACTCGCCGTGGGCATGACCAGCACGTGACACATCTGGCCCACGGGCCGGGAGTTTGAAGCCCTGATCTAAATAGACTCTTTCAAATGTATGAAATGTATGACTCTGAGTTCATTGTGATATTTATTGGAATGATTTAATATGTCCTAGTATACAGTAGACATTCTTTCATTTAATTCTTCAGCACACATTTTCTTTATGAAATGTTTTATGAAACTTAAAACACATGGTTAATAATGGAACCAAGGTCTGGTACAATAAAAAACTAGGAGAAAAAGAACTGGAATTTCCCCAAAATGTTTCCCTTAATTCATTCAGGGACCATTCAAAGCTGAATAAATAATAGTTATGACCAGTCCTCAGCATTTTGTCTGTGCCAGCAACTTGCAATCAAATGATTACAATGTGGGCAGTTGCAACAGATTATACCTGATCAATTGCACTGCCTTAAAGTCATGTGATTGCCATTTGCTATCTTCCCTGCCAGCTTTCCCAGAAAATCAATAAAGCTAGCAGGCAAAGTTACAAGCCACTAGGGTAAGTTTCCCCCATCTATGCACCCTTCCCCAGTCCATCTGCATTTAAACAATGCCAAAGCCTTGAGCCACCACACACATCTTCCTCAAGCCTCAACACATCTCCCTTGTACTATCACATATCCTCCACGAGCTTTGCTGCACTTCCCTCATATCCCCATGTATGCTCATGCACCTTCACACACTCTCCTAGGCCTTGCCACATTTCCCTCACACTCTTGTGCACCTCCATTCATCTTTGTGAATGGATCCTTCCTGAACCTTCCTCAATTCCTGTACATCATCATGGACCCTCTCCAGTTGTCATGCAACCCTGCAACCCTCACCACACCATCTTGGCACCTTGCCCACACTCACACACCCTCCATGAGCCTTGTTGCACCTCTCTTGCAGTTTTGTGGATCTCCTTGCACCCTCTACTGCCTGGCAGCAGTTACATATCTGTCTGCCGCCAAGCTTACAGGCAGCATAAAATTGCAACTTCCTTCCAGCTTCCTCACTGACTTGGTTGTGGGAAGCTAGCAGCAACTTTGCTCACCTATCAACGTGGAATTCAGTTAACAATGGCAACTGTAGGGATTGCTGTCGCTAAGTGATGCAATTGCAGTTTATGATCACATCACTTAGCTACAGAAATTGCAATCTCAATTGCCATTGTAAATCAAGGACTAAATATTTAACATTAATTATCTGTCCAGTTATAAATAATACTAGCAAAACATACATCTGCATTTGTTCCATAGTTTGCACAATGATTTGTTTGCTTGACATTGCTGGTCATGTCAGCCAAAGGAAGGATATTTTAAAGACACTAGCAAGAGCTTTTTATTGTTGATTAGAACACTGTCAGAAATATCAAGTCAGAATAATATTTTTGAAAAGGGAGGAAAGATAAAATCTTAGCTTTACTGAAATAAACAAGTGACATGTTTATTCTACAACCGTATGCTAATACTTCGCTTAGTAAATACCCTTTAGCTTATTTATTTTATGAGGTTTATATTTTACCTTTTTCCTGCAGGAATTCAATGCAGTATACATTTATTGCCCCTGTGTGACACTTCCAGGCTCATAAGAGACTGGTGTTGTAGTCTGAACATTTAGAAAGTCACCCTGTGAATTTCATGGTTGAGCAGAGTTTTAAATCAGAGTGCCCTTAACAACAATGATGGATATCTGCCATGTTTATTACATAATTGTTAAAACTTTTAAGACTCAAATGTGAACCAAAATAATTTATTTTATAGGTACAACAGTGATGATTGGTGCCCACCTTTACCAGTCCAAACATATTTGCATCAGGGAATGGAGGATGAACTTGAAGAAGATGACAGAGTTCCTACACCTCCTGTCCGAGGAGTGGCTTCTTCCCCTGCAATCTCTTTTGGACAACAGTCCACTGCAACATTAACTCCCTCTCCCAGAGAAGAAATGCAACCTATGCTTCAGGCCCATCTTGATGAGCTGACCAGGGCATATCAGTTTGATGTAGCAAAGCAAGCATGGTAAATGTGACCATCATCAAAATTCACGCATATGGTTAAAAAACAGATAGATCAGCAGATAGACATAACTGTATAATAAATAATGAATTTGTTAGATTAATTATCAAATGGATATATGCAGATTACTTCCTCTTGACAGAATCATGACATAAATGGCTTTATCACTCAAACTATCAACTAATGAATATAAATGTCTTGAATTATATGACCATTTGTTTCTTTTTTTAAAAAAAATAAGATTATTTGTTTTATTTAAGGTGATTCATAAAATGGATCCCATTGCCTCCTCAATTTCAAAAGCCCATAAAATAGATATATAAAATATATTTCTTATATAAGGACTAGTGAGTTGTGGAAAAAGGGTTACAGATAAGTAAGTAGTAATCAACGATTTAATTTTGCTTTTATGCTTGAGTTGCTAGTTCATATATTCCATTTCGAAGCTACATTATATCAGGTACAAACTATAACTGTACTGTAGGAATGATTAAGGAAAATTTGTGGACCTCTTGAAAATCTGTATGGGTAAATATTATCCTAGATTGAAAGTTTTAAAATACATGCATCCGGGGTATTTTTTTCAGTTAATTGTAGAAAGTGTTGCTGGTTACATCCAGTTCAAAGTTGACCTGAACAATCATGACAAGCTGAGTGTATATAAAACTATAATAGGATACAAGACTGAGAAAAAAGTATTTATAGTATAAGTGGCCTGAATTACAAGATATACCATACAGTTGTCCCAAGTTTTAAAACATTCTATAATGTCAGACTGAAGTTTTTCTAGGATTTTACATTTCAGTTTATAGGTAGTAGTAACTATATTTGAAAGAGTACTAACACATATGCAATTTGTGTTATTAGCTTCAGCCAACAAACTGATCATGAATGCTTGGGTTTCCAAAGTACAAAATAAAGGAATTTGAACATGATTTATTACAAAGAAGTTGTGACCCTACGCATCCTTTCACAAATAGTTTTCTCAACTAGTGATTATGATTTTCAAGTGAATAAAACTTAAATCCTTTCATCTAGTCATTCTGGAACTGTAAATTAGGTAAAAAAAAACAATTGCCATACAGATACTTTTATTTAAATGCTTAATTACAACCTACAGTTTTATCAATTCCTAAATAAAATATACATCATTATATTAATTAGTACAATAATAATTATTTTTATATTAACATAAATGATCATTTTACCTTTTCTGGCGATTCTCCTTTTCTATTTTCTGATTCTCCTTTTCAAGTTTTACTCACTGGTTTTATCTATACAAGACTTCCACAGAAAATTGCTGGAAGGGCATAGTACCCTGCTGAAATGAAACCCAGTGATGGGACATTCTCTCATGCAGTATTCATAAAGAAAATGCTATGTCCAAGATAGAATGGATGAGTGGATTAGAATGGGAGAGAAAATATAATGGAATTGCCTTTCAATTAATATTTTCAGAGAATTGTCTCTATCCTTTGGAAAAAAAAAACTGACTTCTCTTAAAGTACAAGGCTTTTTCATGGAAAAATAATATGGGTCTTTGCACTTTTTGTGTAGCCACTCTGAATCAGTGAGAATGGAGACTATAGAAGGAAATGTTTTTAAAATACATTGCATTTTTTACTTCAAATATAGGGGGTATCATTACTATGTGGAGCTTTATACTGTTTCATTTGCTACCAATTTGCCTTTTTCTATGTTCTCCTTATATTAGAAGCACCAAATGCAATCACTTAGGTTTTTTTAAAAATAACCCAGTTCATATGTTCAGAGACCATAGTTCTATGAAGGCTAGAAGTATTTTTAAATGCTTTAAAAAAAACAATGGTGAATTTATAGCTTATCCTGCAGGAACAAGCTGACTCCCTTGTTCCTTATCATCTGAAAGCCTATGGAATTTGGAAGAATTGGTGCACCCATAGAGACTATATGAAAAGCAAGGGTTAAGGGGTCAATCAATTAGTTTCTATACTGCTTCTGTGACCTCAGAGAAGCAGTGATAAATGCTAAAATCCTTTCATTTCTTGGCAGACATTTTCTTAAAATAGAAATTCTCTGGGTCTCATGTAATTATGGTCCTGGAAAAAGGAAAGTCAGGAAAACAAGCTTGGACAATTGCAGTGATTCTTTCTTTCCCTCCCTTCCCTTAATTAAATGTGTTCGTGTTTCAGTGTTTCACATAAAGTTGATGGAGAGATACTTAGTAGCAATTTAAGAATCAGTTTAAGCTTAGGAATTACCAGCTTTTAAAAAACCTTGCTTAAATACAAACAAATAATAAACATGAGAGTGGTCACTGAAATTAAAGATACATAGAGCTCACTGTAATGGGTTGAGAACTTTCTAGCATTCCCTAAGAATTTTTTTTAATGGAATACTGTTATCCAGTCTTCCTGTAGAGTTTTAAAAGCTGAAATACCGTACCTTTTCCTGTAGTATCAAATTGACATGTTATGGAATTAAAATAAAATGTTCCAAGGTGCACTGGTATGTTTTATCACAGTACAGTAACCTTTGCAACTGTTTGAAATCTTACATTGTGTGCTGGCAAGTTGCCTCCAAACGCAGCTGCCCTGCTGTCTACCCATCATTTGTCTCAAGCACTAATCTTACAGTATATATACAGATTTCTCTCACATGCTTTAAAATGGAGGGAGTAATTAAACCTCATTATCCATCTGCAATTAATTCCCTGAAATTGATTCTTCAAGTAGTTATCTTAAATTCATGTAATCCATTCTCATTCCTTCTCAGAAGAATTTCCTGTTATTTCCCAAGTGAACAGAAATAGAAATATCTCCATAGGTGTACATGGTGAGGAGGTGAAGAAGGATTGAAGATGGAGGAGCGAGACTTCTGATATTTATTATGAGATGAGATGAGATATTGTTGTTATGTTATGTTGTTATGTTACTTTACATTATGTTATGTTACATTGGGGCTGGATAGTGTAGTTAAGAGCTGAGGTGGCGCAGAGTTAGAGTGCAGTACTGCAGGCTACTTCAGCTGACTGCTAGCTGCAGTTCGGCAGTTCAGATCTCACCAGCTCAAGGCTGACTCAGTCTTCCATCCTTCCGAGGTGGGTAAAATGAGATTGTTGGGGCAATATGCTGACTCTGTAAACTGCTTAGAGAGGGCTGTAAAAGCTCTATGAAGCAGTATATAAGTTTAAGTGCTATTGCTATTGTTAGAGTGTCACTTTTGACAGGGAGACCAAGGTTCAAATCCTGGCTGGTACCTATCTTACCAGTAGAGTCCTTGAGCAACAACATGCTAATGTTTCATCTGCCTATCTCAAATATGAGAGTGACACAAACAAGGAGTATTGTGGCAGCTCATACATTGCCCCAATTAACAAGGTTTGCATAAGATTTTGGGGTACCACAGCATTGATGATAAGTGCACTACTGGAACAACCCATGCATAGACAAGACAAAATAATCTGGAATTGCTACTACAACAATAGATTTAATGAGAGGGGATATATGAAATGTGTGAGTGAATTATGGATGGACAGAAGACCTGCATTCCCATTAACTGAGAAACAATGCTTCAGAACAATGAAGAAAAAGCTGGTGCCACAATTAGAGATAGATCAACTACACATTATTCTGAACTCAACAATACCTGAAAGAAAACTGGGGTGCAGCCAACAACTGAAAATAGAATGTTACTGCAACCTGCTCCTTTACAGAGCATAGCAGCTGGCATGAGGCAAAAGATCATGCATAAAGTAGTTACAGTGAACCTTCAAAAACCTGTTTATCAATGGTCAATTGGGAAGTACCATCAGATAGTATGATAGAAGATGTTAATAAAACCTGTAGGAGATGACCAGGCTGAGCCCAAGGGAGAGGTCAAGCACTTCATCAGTCTTGAGATCCTTTGCACCCACAAGAGATCTAAGTGCAGTCCATCTTGAATTGATTTTTCGCTACATTCAATTTGCTATGACTGTTACTAGTTCAGATTATTGTAGAGAGCATGCAATAAACTTGTATTTATTTGAACTGCCTTACTTCATGATTACTTACACTTAACAAAGCCCGCATGAAAATCTCTACAACCACCATACCTCAAACAAATGTACTGGTATATGCTACAGTTGCTGTAATTCTAGGCTACACAGTCAAGAAGACTAGCAGTACATACTCTCTCTGGAAAATGAGGTTAGAAACTAAGATTAAGGTGAAGAATAAAGGAGAATATTTGTAACTCAGGGTTGAAATGAGGGGTCCTTGGTGGTCTCTTAACTTGGTTGTTTTCTGCAACCAGCTTTTCTTGCAGATGTTTCAATACTCAAAGTAGGCAACATCATCAGTGTGAGTAAGGAGTGGAGTTTGCTCTCAGTTTATATTCTAGTGGCTTACCCTGTCAGTGTTGGTGGGGGTGGTCTTAAAAAGTTCTTTGGTTGAGTTGTTTACTACTAGCTTGTTTGGCAGCTCCTTGATTGGGTATTGTTTACTTCTTGATTGTTGTCTGTTATTAATCTTGGAGTTAATCTATGCTCATAAGGGTGTTGATTGCTGGTAGAAAGGTATTTTGGGTTTTTTTGTTCCCTTTTTGGCTTGTAGATGGTCTCTTTTGTATGTAGATATTGTTTATATCTATGTGCCTATTGAGAACCAATTTGTCAGAGTACCAAGTCTCCAGAAATTCCCTAGTGCTTTTGGACTTGGCTTGGTCTAGGATGGTCATAGTTTCCTAGTTGAACCTGTGGTTAAATCTATCCATATGTTGTGAAATTAAAGGGTTTTCATCATGTTTTCTGACTGCTACTTGGTGTTCATGGATGTCTTCTGACAATCTTCTTGCCTTAGCTATCTTTTGAGCTCTAATAGTAATGAGGAAAATCCTTATATATGTATCTTGACTTTTATACCCCCACAAGTGCATCAAACATATATTCAAGAGATTTACTATTTACTTTCTTTAACAATGATTTATCCAGAGCATTGAATAAAACTTCAAATTAGGATACATTGTATTACAATGATGATAATTGGCTGTAAAATTAGGAAATAGAAATGAAAAAAAAAGTTTTAGAGCGCCTACAAATCCTTCAAAAGTGTCATTTTTCTCCTTAAATATACTCATTCTGCATTACCATTAAAACATATTTCCAACTGATTGCAGTCAGCATTAAGAAAGATGCATAAATTACACAACTGGCCATAAACGGCAATTTAAAGGATTTAAGTTTGGCTAGATAATGGTCTCAGCTTTTTAAATAAATTGGTAAGTACAGTGCTTAATATATGTATTTTCCTTTTTGTTCTAGGCACAATCAAATCAATATTCAGCCACCCCAGACCCCAGCTCCCCCATTAGGATATGTCTCTGGAACATTAATATCAGATTTTGAAGCAGACATTCCAGAGGATGAAGATGAGGATGATATTGAAGAAGAGGCTGTAGAAATCACAAGGCCATTACGAGACCTAGAGCATACTTCAGGCTGCAGCATGGACAATCTTGACAGTTCTATGACAGGTAGGAAAAGAACACTGATAAACCCTATTTGTGAATGCAGAAAAAATGTTATAAATAACAAACCGTGAGTTACAAAATCAAAAACAAAAATAATCCAAGGTAACTCAATCTGAATTGATAATAAAATTACTATGGTAGAAATGGGCAACATTTTTTTGCCTTTGGAAGCCCAAGCATGCATAGTCCTTTGGAAGCCCAAGCATGTGATTAAAGTTATTTTGATGTATTTAGTTATTTAATGTTTGCAACCACACTGCTTTCCAAACTATTTAAGTACGAAGATTTCAAAACTAAATGCACTTTAAATCCAATCCAACGCCTTTATTTGAAAGTGTGATTTCTTAGTGTACCTGTATGCTAAGTGCTTTGCCTCAATTTTCTTAGAATTTCTGACATAATTTTTAAACAAAAATTCTCCATATTTCTCCATATACCTCAAGTTAGCAATAGACCATATACCAAAACATCAGGTTTTTTTAATGACTGCTTTTAATTCTATCACCATCTTGTGTGTGTACAGTAATTGATCTTCATATTTATAATGTTGTTAAGTTTTAGATTTTAGTACAAAGAACATTAATATATGCTAACCCTAATCCTAAATCATAGGGCAACAATATTGTTGGTGCCTACTTAGCCCAACATGTTGAACAACATTTTTAAATTAAAATATCCATATGAGTGGTAAATGCATATTAAGGTACTTCTTTCCAGAACTCTTTTATGAAACCAAGGGAATCAAATATCTGTGGGTCTGTCAGTTATTATAGATGAAAACATCATGAACTTCATAAACATGAGATTTTTCATTTGTAAAGAAAAATAAATTGAAACCATTTAACCTAATCTTTTTGGAATTTCAGTCTTCTCCATCTGTATCACCTTTTATTTTTTCTTATTGCTGAAAGTCACAAAAAGTTCTCAGATTTATTCAAGCTGTTCTCATGCACTTAGAACATTAAGTAGTTGTTCAAATGTTGCAGAGCAGTAAAATAATAAGATAAAATGGCATTTTCCTGTGCCTCCATTACAGTTTTAAGCACTAAAATTAATTTATGATCAGTCATCAATTCATTTACTTGCTATTTAATGCTAAATCCACCCTTGGAGATGAATCTGTATTCCTACATCCATTAGACTTGAATATAATTCAGTTTTATAATATGATCTGTTAATTACTGCTTCATTTTTTTTAATGAGATAAAAAAATTATCATTTAGGTTCCTTGTTTTGGAGCACACTTATGAGCAACGAGCATCTTATTTCTACCAATTACATAGAACTTTATAGAAAACAAATGTACAAAAATAAGAATTAAAATATGTATTATTTATCTAATCATTTCCATATTATGATTCTAATAATTTAATGGAAGTAATTATGATATCACAGTTACTTAGCAGGGATACAAAAACAATGGAGCTATCACTAACACAAATATTGCATTACTGAGTTCACTGGATAATTTTTTTATTTATCTAAGTGATTTATATGGCCACCAGTGGTGGGTTCCTCCCGGTTCGTCCCGGTTCCACTGAGCCGGTAGCGGTGACAATATGACATCACCGAACCGGTTCTGCTCACCCCCCGCTCCCCCCATCCACCCCCGCATTATTCTTACCTTTTATTTGGCCCCACCCCCAATCTATTGCTGCCTCCTGAGTCCCAGCTGATGGCTAGAGGGAAAAAAACTCTTTAAACTCTTGCCGCAGGGCTTCAAAGGGTCGCCCTACAGCTGATCAATGTTAAAAGAAAACAAATGAGTAGACCGGTGCCTGCAAAAATACATGAGTAGATCAGTGCCTGCAAAAATCCATGGGTAGACCAGTGTCTGCAAAAATACATGAGTAGATCAATGCCTGCAAAAATACATGGGTTAAAGCAGTTAAAAGCCAGGTAGACCAGTACCTCTGCTAAATCCTAAATAATTGTCACATGACCATCAATCCACACCCACAAAATAAGCCTCACCCACAGAACCGGTAGTAAAAAAATTTAGAACCCACCCTTGATGGCCACCCAACCTGCAAATGACAACTTTGGATGGCTAACCTAGGATTAAAAACACAGAACAAAAGAGCCAACAAAGAGAAAAACAGGAAAGTACCACGTAGCCCAGGTCAAGTCATGATGGCCATAAAACAAACAAACAGGTTTTCAAAGCCTTATAAAAAGTGAAGCAAGATCACAGTCATCCATACCTTGGAATGTAAGCTATTCTAAATGATAGTATACAGAACTGGGAAGATGATTTTGACACAAATATTCAGAAAACATTACCTAGGCAAAAGAGGATGAAAGTATTTTTAAGTCCATAACAACAAAATAACATTCAGAAGTGGCTCAGGAAGATGCAGTGAATTATAAGGAGGAGGGAGGTACAGCACAAGCAATGAACATAAAAAAGCAAAAAAAAAACCACACATTAAAAAAGGATATAAAATATCAACCAAACTTAAAATTGAAAGAACCAAAAGGGGATCCCACTCAATTGGACTTGTATGGAGAACTGGGGAGGAATGGAAGCGATCTTAAGAGTTTTTGTAAACAAAGTTGGTCTCTATCATATATCAGGAAAGAATATTTCAGACCACAGGGATAGGCACTAAATATATACGATTCTGAAGTCCCATGAGATTGCAAAATTTAAAAGGGGGAACCTCGACTGTATTTAATATAGCAAGTTCTCATTTACTGACTTACTGTTCAGCAATCATTTGAAGTTATGAGGGTGCTAAAAAAAAAAATCATTGAAATCATTTACTGATCACCATTACAGTCATCATGCTTTGTCCTGTGCATGACCTGTTGTTTTGCCCCAGAGCCTTGCAGTGCAGAATGATTGGAGAGGAAGGGATTACAAAGCACACAATGAGGAATACACCAGGCTATTTGCATAGCATGGTCATGGCTGCTGGCAAAACACATTGCTTTCAGTGTTTATTCCCCATTGTGTGCCTGCCTATAATCTATCAATATTGCTACAGAGATATAGTGCATAATGAATAATAATCAGTTTTCCTGCTTTGGGGTCCAAACTGTCCAGATCAGCTTATGTTCAGTTAATAATTCCAGCAATATATCATATTATGGGTATGATCCAGCTATTGATGGTTTTGATGGTGTTTCAATCATTCATTTTTGTCTTTAGCAGTTTTCTGACATCTTGGATGTATTCTGTACTAATCACATTTTTAACTTGTCCGTGCTTTGATGTTACACAACTGTAAAATGACTAGAAGCTTGTAGACTTCGTCTGATGGCTCCCTTATGGTTGGACAATTCAGCATTTCAATTCCATTACTGTTCTTGATTTAATTCCAATTAATTGCTACTATAGCATATTTTTCTATTTTCCATTGCTATATCTGTGCTAAAAATTCTTATGGTATTTGTCAATGACTGGATTTCAATTTCTGATTTTCTATAAAGCTTCAGATCATCCATATAAAGGAAATGTGAAATTTTATTAGCATTTTTCTTTGATAACCAAGATTTTTTTCTTCAAAATCATTGAAAATGGGATCATTGCAATGATAAATAAGAAATGATAATGAGTCACCCTGAAAAAGGCCTATTATTTCTATTTCTATTTCTATTTCTATTATTTCCTTTCTGTTCTACTGGAATGATGTTGTTTTCTTCCAAATAAGCTTGCTTGTTCTCTTCTATTATACCTTTGAATAATTTGAGCATTGTAGGTAAGCATGCTTATTGGCATTACTAATACTTATGGTTCATCATCCAGTTAGCCAGATGCAGCGCAAAAGTTTGAAAGTTTCTCAGAAAATAAAATGCTGCCCTTATTACCTTTCTGGTAATTCCTCCTATAAAACAACATCTTAAATGAAAATATTTTAAGAATGTTTTTATTTTTTATTTTAGGCAAACCACATTCCGCTTCTCAGAAACTTCGCCCAACCAGCCCATTTTCTACTGACAGCAATACTAGCATAATCCAGAATCAGAGTCAAAGGCCTAGGCCTAACCCTACCAAAAAACAGCCATCCTTGCCTCATCGTAGAGAAGGCATGGCAGATGGTAAGTTCCCTGGTTTCACATGGCATGTGAAAAATAAATCCATTGTTTTTGTTATAAATGTTTATTAAAATACAATTAGTCATCTAATTGTATGTTTGCATCTTTGTTAAATATCAGAAAGTAACGTTATGACTGGGCTTGGTATGTAAAAATTGTTCTACTGCAAACTTCAGAACAATATTCAGGCTTTAGGTAGAACTGTTATTTTATTCATATATATTGTGCATTTAAAACTTAAGGACATTGCAAAGCTAAGTTTTAAGTCAACTGTTTCTTTTATATTGTGTTCTTTCTGTCACACAAATACAGTAAGTATGTTCTCTGTGTTTCAGATCTGCCCATATAAAGCTTACTTGGTCATGAAAGCTCAATATCCTCTTTAATTCTATACATTTAGAGATTATATCATGTTCTCAGGTTTTTGCAAGGCACTTGCTTTTTTAAAACCATATACTATAATTATGTATGTATATGAAAGAGACTTTGGCCACTTATCATATGGTATTTTACATTATGGCTTGCATGTATTTTTCAAAAATCTAAGAGGTATTTGATGCATAATTACCAGCAATGTAGACTTATAAACCTTGGGTGCAGCTATAACTTGCAGAGCCTCACATACACAGACACACTTCTCTGCATCTCAACAAATTAGCCTAATCCTTTAAATATTAAATTATGGCTAAACTTAATATGATTGCTTTTATATCCATTTTTCATTATCCTATCATTCGTATCTGTAGGGAAAAAAAGTTTCAACAGTTTTTATTTGTCTTGACCCATGTAATGGTAGAGGATATATCTTTGAGCAAATAAGTATAATTCTGGCTTTGTCCAACATTACATCAGAAAATAACTGGTTGCTGAAAGTCGAGTTTCTTTATAGACTAACCAGCATTTCTAACACATGCTCATTGTCATTTTTGTCATTATATATGTTAATTACCTTGCATAATATCACTTAAGATGTTTTAACAGATTGTGTGTGATTAGTGCATACTTTTCTTAATAATACTGTAAACTATTTTTAGCAGACAGGATATGTAGTGGAAATATTCTTCATGAGAAAAGGGCTGTTTCAAGGGCTAAAAGCCATGGTGGTGCAGTGGTTAGAATGCAGTACTGCAGGCTACTTCTGCTGACTGCCTGCTGCCAATTGTTGGGCAGTTCAATTCAGGGTTGACTCAGCCTTCCATCTTTCCGAGGTCAGTAAAATGAGGACCCAGATTGTTGTTGGGGGCAATATGCTGACTCTGTATACTGCTTAGAGAGGGCTGTAAAGCACTGTGAAACGGTATATAAATCTAATCCTATTGCTATAGCTAAAGGCTGAAATCTAAATTTAAAAGAACATTAACTTAAAGAAGTTCATGAAGTGAGAATTCTAACTGTCCCACTTTCCTCCCACAGCTTCTTTTATTGCTTGGTTGATGTGTTGAATAGAATAGAGAGAGACAGAAGGGAGGCAGAAAAGGAAGAATTATTTTTTCAATGAATGTCCAGATAGTTACGCTGACCACAGAGATTGCCTTAACATTACTAGAAAAGTTCCATCTTACAGGTTTATTTGTTTTTGTTTTTTTAAAAAAGGCTCCCTTGGGATATTGGGTCTTTCTGAGTGTGTAGATAGCTTGGCAACAATTACAGAGATGGTCCTCCATCTGTAATCTCCAAGAACCTAGTTTCTTCTGGGTTTTTTTTTTTTTCTTTTTGCGGGAGAGGGATTGTCCTTCTAGCCTGTAGTCCTGAGATTTCTTGGAGGTCAGAAGCAAACATCCAAATATGAGTCTGCTTTAGTTTTATGAAAATCAGCTAACACTAATTAGGTGCTTTTATAGGTTTTGCAAATGTGTAATAAGAAATATAGATTAACTCGGCCAACTAAAATTGTTTTTCAGATAAAATATATCACCTGACTAAAAGCAGTAAAATATACAAAGCTTAATAATTTTAATAGACAATATTAATAAAGCCCTTCATTTTTTTTGTTATATAGCTTAAAATGTTTCAGTGAATTTTATAAAACTATTGACATTTTTTAGATCTTCCACCACCACCAGACCCACCTCCTGGTCAGGGAATAAGGCAACAGATAGGTACTGGCCAACGTGGGGGTTCAACAGAAAGAAAAGGAAGCTCTTTAGAGCGACAGCACACAACCAACATAGATGAAACAAAGAGTTCTTTGGATCGTCAAGCTAGAACATCACTAGAGTGGCAACGGCAAACCCAGGATTGGATAACCTCCACAGAACTTCAAGGCCAGCAAAAGCAAGCCTTTGGATCAGGTGTGTAATTGTACATCTCAGAGCAGCTTAGGCGATACCCTAAACCTGTTATAATGTACTATTAATTTGCTTACAAATGGTGAAGGTCAAGGCTTACATAGCAACAAAGGATATCAATTAGCATTTGACATCCATTGTTATTTGTTCTTGCAATGGTGAAGTTTGAATGCACCTAACTGCAAACACTCTGATCGCATGCTTTCTTTTAGGAATTAATAATGCTTCTTATTCTATACACCTGAAGCATTTATTTATTATTTGAACAATTATCTTTAAAGCATATATTCGTTGTGTTTTTTAAGACACAGATCTATAATTTTTGCATCCTTGGTGCACTAAAAATCCTTATGTTCATTAACAAACATGATTCATATATAATTCATATAATTCAGAACATATTTCAATTATGAACTATGAACTAAATATTTAAATATTGCTTTACCACCATTTTGTTTGTTTTATACTGGAATCAATAGAATTTACATGTATTAATCTTGGTGGAATTTTACTTCTAGGTAATATATTTTTCCCAATAATTTTATTAAGGATTATATTAAATCTATAAATCTAATATAAGAACCTAACATAAAAATGTATTACAAAAGAAACAGAAATATTTAAGTTTAGAAAAAGAATCAACTGCCAAGAAAGAAGTAGTAAGAAAAATAAATTTCCACCTTCATCCCTAGCAAATATATTCATCATTAACAATGATGAATATACATTATCGTTGTTTCTTAAAATACAACCAAATGCATCTTCATCCCACAACTCATCCTATTTTCTATAAATTCATCTCTAAATCGTCAACATTCCTTATTAATCAGCAAGGGTCCAATAAAAAATTGAAAGAAAACCTAAGAACATAATTATATAGTACTCCTTTCCATTTAATCAAAATACCCTTTATCTTCCCCTTAGTAATCAAACTGTAATCCAAATTAACAAACATTACAAAAATTAAGAAATGTATCAAAAATGCATAACAGTCGCTCAAGATAACCATTAAGCATCACCAGAGGTTTCCTTGTTCCAGCCATGCTCAAGTCCTGGAGAAGTTCTAACGCCCATTTTTTCTGCTATTTTTATTTCTCACAAATGAAGGCAAATATGCATGTCCTAGGATAATGTTGCCAGGATCCAATCTGGGTTGGTCACCAAGACCAGAGATTTTGTCTTCTGAGCTTTTGGACTAGTGCTGGAGCCCATCCCCAAGGAACCTCTTTCTAGCAGTTTTTATTTTTATTTCTTGACTTGGAAATTTTGTCATCTTTATCCAAGTCCATCTAACTTCCATGTAATAATTCCAATACATCTCTTATATTCCAATTTTAAAAGATAATCCACATGCTATAGAATGGAATGAAATGGAGGTGGAAGGGACCTTGGAGGTCTTCTAGTCCAGTCCCCTGCTCAAGCAGGAGAACCTATATTATTTCAGATAAGTGACTGTCTAGTCTCTTCTTAAAAACCTTCAGTGATGGTTTTTCAGCCAACGATTTCAGAAGGCAAGCTGTTCTTCTAGTTAAATGTCCTCACTGTTAGGAAGTTTCTCCTTAATTCCAGGTTGCTTCTCTCTTTTGTTAGTTTCCAACTATTGTTTCTTGCCCTCTGGCGTTTTGTAGTCTAATTTGAACCCCCTTTTTTTTGATACATTATTTGTATGTCCTTAATTTTTAAATGATCATTCTGTTCCATTGGTAAATCCAGTATATCCATCTATTTCTTACTATTTTTAACTACACCTTAAATTCCATTTTGGTTATCTTTAGGGGTTTCTCTTTAATATCTGCTTTTTATTCCAGTGTAGAATCAAAAGGTCATGCATTTCTTGAACCCAAGAATCAAATATTTATTTTAAACTCTATAACACCTCCCCCCCCCCAAACACACACATACAAAATAAATATCTTACAAAGCTGAAAACACATGATTTTCCTTCTTTTTAAACAGATTAAAGAGAGATTCACAAAGTGACTGGTAAATTTGCTGTTCCAAAGATTTTTAAATCTTAAAAGAACAATAAAATAATATAAAAGTCTAAAGTGATTAAAAATATGGCATTGGTCAAACCTTAAGTCCAGGAAAGACTGCATTTATGGCTCAGAGCACAATGGAATCCATGAGTCCCAGCTGATTGCAATCGGCTGCAAAAACATCAGTTCCTGACATTTGCTCATAAAAACAGGTCTCCAAAGTACGAATGGTTAATCAAACATGTTCCAAAGAGAATTTCAGCTTTTCCAGAAGCTTTTTAGGTTGTAATGTTTCCTGCACTCTGCAAAGGAGAGAAAAATGTTGGGCATTGGTTCACTGTTCGTCACCAGAAGCCTGGAATTTTATTCTTAAATTGTAACGGATTCTGTAGACCTATGCTAAGAAACATTGAATGTGATCTTGTAACCGAGCTCAATATTAAAGCATAAGAAATGTTTATTGATAACATTTTAATTTTTGTATATAAGTCAATCAAATAATTTCCCAAGTACTAAATTTCTTTGGAAACAATACCAAGTAAGTAATTAAATATGCTGATTGTACAGTTCTTTATCTTCATTGAAAATTTATCATAATTCTAGTGGTGAAGAAAAGCATTTTTGTACACTGAGCAACAATAGTTACTCAGTAATCAATTATTATCTGGGTCTGCAAATTGTGTATTTTTTTCTATTTATTTAAGGCACCATGTTTTGTTTTCATTATGAGCAGTTTAATTTTAGAATGAATATATGTGCTCCTTTGAGCAAAATGTAACTCCTAATTGTTGCCTGAACTAATCCTTGAAATCTCCTTGCAAGATTTGTTTCAAAAAAGGGTTGCAATCTTCTGGAGGGCAAATAGTCCAAGGTCACCCAGCTGGCTTTGAACCTAAACAAGTCTAGAACTCATGGTCCCCATATTTCTAGGCTGGTGCCTAACTAATACACTAAACAAAGGGATGTTTGAGCAAAAGGGATGCATATATTTCTCTTTCCACAGGTTTAGTTATTTTAAAGTATCAGGTAAGTCTATTAAAGTCATCTGTACATTTAGCTATTTTGAGTGAAATATATATACATTTCTTTTTTTTCTTTTTTTTTAGTTTTAAAAAACAAACTTTATTAGATTTAAAAAGATAAAATTATATAAAACATTCACAACCTTAAAATACAATCAACGATACTAATCACAACAAACAAACAAGTATATGTGGTATATAAAGTACAAATGTACACAATGACTTATTTCCTTTTTTATCTTGATGACGGTGTATAATTATTACTTTTAATTTCTTACTAAATTTTAACTTTACCTTCTTTTCCATTGGTTTATCCACTCATACCAACTATCCCATACCTTAAAATACTGTGAGTCTTCCTTATCTTTCAATTTCAACGTTAGTCTATCCATTTCTGCACATGTATAAATTTTTTGAATTATTTGATGCCCCATTGGCAATTGATCTGTTTTCCAGACTTGTGCTAGGGCTAACCTAGCCGCCGTAATTATATGTAATATTAGGTACTTTTTTTCTTTTCTAATGTTTTGTTTAAGCATTCCTAACAAAAAGATTTCTGGTTCTAGCTCAATATCCTCCGCAATTATTTCTGATATCCAAATTTTTATTTTTATTCAATATTTCTTAATTTTTGGGCAAAGCCACCAGACATGAAAGAAGGTTCCCTGTGCTTGCTTACATTTCCAACATGTTGGATTAAGATTTGCATACATCCTCGTCAATCTCGCAGAGGCTAGATACCCTCTGTACCACATCTTGTAGTGGTTCTCCTTATATGCTACCAATTTTGTTATTCTATAGTTGGTTTCCCATACCCTTTCCCATTCTTCCGATTGTATGTTTTTACCAATATTCCTTGCCCAGGCTATCATTTGTCCTTTGACTAGATTTTCTGCTAGGTCGAATTCTAATAAGTATTTGTAAATCTTTGAAATCAAGTTTCCATCTTTAGCTCCTAATAATTTGTCTAGCCGGTTGGGATTTGTTTCGATTCCTCCTTCCTCACTATCTTTATTGTATCTAGTTTGTATTTGTAGGTAGAGCCACCAATCTATTTCTATACCTTGTTCCCTAAGTTCCTGCCGTGTTTTTAATCTTCCTTGGGGATCCAGTAATTCTTTATATTTTATTAATTTATGGGGGGCTAGTGTATTGGGGTGCATTGCCACCGCCAATGCGGATATCCAGCCGGGAACCTTCATATAATGTTTGTTTTTAATTTTGAGCCAAGTGCCAATTAGTGAATTTCTTATTATATGATTTTTGAAGTGTTTATATGTTTTGTTCCCAGCTTTCCCCAAGAAGGCATGCCACCCCTTTAATAAATCGTAGCCTTCCAATTTTAATGGTCTATAATTGTCCAAATTGACCCAATCCTTAATCCATGTTAAACTCGCTGCCTTATAGTATTTTTCCCATGCTGGTAGGCCAAAACCCCCTCTAGTTCTATCATCCTGTAATATGTTTAAATTTATTCTTGGTTTTTTCCCCTCCCATACAAATTTTGATGTTATTTTATTCAGATTTGTAAAAAAGTTTTTCTTTAATTTAACCGGAATAGTTTGAAATAAGAGAAGTCTCGGGAGTATATTCATCTTTATTGTCCCAATTCTTCCTAGCAATGATAGCTTTAGTTTCCCCCATCTTTCTAAGTCTTTTTTAATTTGTTGTACTAACGCTCCGTAATTATTATCTTTTATGGCGACATTCCTAGTTGTCAAATTAATACCTAAATATTTTATCTTCTTAACTGCTTATAATCCTGATCGTTTTTCTAACTCTTCTATTTGTTTTGTTGTTAAGTTTTTAGTTAATATCTTGGTCTTATCTTTGTTGACTTTTAAACCTGCCACTTTACCAAATTTCTCTATTTCTTCTTTTAACTTTAATTCTGTTTCTAGTGGATCCTCTATGAAGAATACAAGGTCGTCAGTGAACGCTTGGACCTTGTATTCTTCTCCTTTTACCTTGAGTCCTTTTATATTTTTGTTAAATCTAATTC